GTTAGATGGGTCAGAGACGCTCCACAGTAATACTAAAATAATTTTCATTAATTGTTTTGGTTTATAAATATTTATTTTCTTCAGGAAATCCATTCTGCCCCTCGAGCGATTCGAATTCCGCGCTGCTCCCACCGCTAGTACGCTGCGCGGCCGGAGAGGACAGTGCGGACCAGGTGCAAGCCATCGATGGAGTCCAGTGTATGTACTCTACCCTTTGAATTGGGCTCCGTCTATATTTTCTTACGTTCCGGATAAAAACTACGCAAATTACCTAGGGTATTTTACTTACCAACTCTGAACACTAGACAGAAAAGAGGTGTAGAAATTGTCAGAAATGAGTTGGGATATTGTAGACTGTTGTAGACGAAGAATAAATAAACAGCATTAAATACTTTTGACAGAGAAAGCAAAGCTCAACAACACTATTACTGGACTCATATCTGGTGCAAAAATCCAACAAAAACATGAAAGTGGAACCTCTTTTTGTAGGTATTTGATTCTATTATATTCTGCAGTGATACATGTTTTGACAGATATACCTGGCATTGCTGTATGTACAGCAAAATCTACAGTAATGAATCAAAACAGTGATAAAAATATCTCGACTTATCACGTTCGAGGCAATTCAACAAGATCGTTATCACCTACAACCGTAAAATTGATGTTGAAAAGTATTCATAAAGACGAAAGTGAAGAGAGCAAATATGTAACAGATTGCTTTGGAGCAGACAGAGACAGAAAAATGTTACAGAGAGCAGTTACGGAAGCAAGAAAGGAAGGTCGCCAGCCGGATCCGGTTATTTTACAGGTTCTTGGATATCTCCCAAACGATGAGTCCATTCGAAAGCGATCAGCAGAGGAAGAGGAAGCCGCTCAGCATCTTATTAAAATGCTCAATAAAACTCACAGAGAATTTGAACAGCACCTTAACAAAAGGGAAACATTGAAGAATAACAAGATCGAACCTATACCTGCATGTGCCTCTCTTCCAGAAGATATTTTAAGTCCTTGTTCTGGATCAACAAGCAGCCAGTGAACGAGAGTATGATAAATGTCTTAAGTGAAAATGAAAAATTAAAGGATCTCTGTATAAAAAGAGTCAGTTATATGGCATAACTTTTTGGACATTTTTTAAATATGATTAATATCTGATGCACGAAAGAAATAGAAACTGATATTGGAAGGAATTGTAAGCAAATTATGTTGCAAATCGGATTTGAACATTTCAAGTGAATTTGAAGTATTTCAAAGAGATATTAAAGTATATCGTCAAATTACCCCCATAAAGTAATCTATTAGAAATATTGTAAAATACTGGAAGCATTTTGTACTTTTATGTTGAAAATTTTATCTTTTGTTACTTGTAAATACTTGTACAACCTCTACGGGAGAATATAAAAAACATTTTAACTATTTTAATTATTTTACTGCTTGAGCAGATTTCCTTTATAGTAATAGATGTTACAGAGTTGATGAGAGTTACTTATAGATCTAAGTCAACTTCATAAGTACATGCACCTCTTTTTAATGTTATCGAAGGTAGGTAACTGCTTTCTAAAACTTACAGATGTAATTTCGACATTTTTTAACCCTATACTTATGAAACGTCATAATAATGGCTTCCGCGTGACCGATGTTTTTTTTACGAAGCGCCACTATAGTGGAGGATGTATAGTAGAACGACGAAGTTTGAATCCATAAGTTTCAAAGCATAATCTTTGAAAGAATGAGATCGAATGCATGTTGTTAAATTGATTTTTACTACATACTTAAATTCTATTTATTTTTTGGTATTGTTGAAACTTTCTAACAGTGTGAGTATTCCGTTGGGGTACAATGGCGTACGAGGTTTGTCCGGAAACTAATGCAATTTTTTTTAACCGATAGATTTACTGTAGACATCGTTACAAAAGTTTAATATTCTTCGAAGTAGTTCCCGTGGGCATCTAAACATTTTTTCCAGCGACTCTGCCACGCACGGTACGCATTCTGGAAGGCTTCAACGGAGACCTCGGCAAGGGCCCTCGTCACGGCGCTTTGGACGACTTCAATCGACCTAAAACGGATTCCTTTCAGGGCGGTCTTGATCCTCGGGAAGACAAAGAAGTTGGCCGGAGCCATGTCCGGACTGTAGGGGGGTGGCGGCAGTGTTGCCAAGTTATGCTTCGCCAGGTACTCACGGACACGCAAAGCGGTGTGGCTTGGAGCGTTGCATGGTGGAGCTACCAGGTAGTGGCGATCTCTTTTCTCACTCGGACGACCCTCTTGCGCAGTTTTTCCAGTACATCAACATAGTAGGCAGCGTTCATGGTATGACCTTGAGGAACGAACTCTTTGTGGACCACACCTATGGGGTCGAAAAAGATAATTGTTGAGTCATTCGACCATCACCGAAACATAGCGATCATTTGTCAACAATTAGGACTGCGATTTCATTAGTTAAATACGGAACTGTTAGGACTAATCCATAATCTAACGCTAAATTTTAATTGGAATACACTCTGCAGCGATCTAGGTGTTCTATTTCTTCCTTATTTCAAATTCCGTTTATTTTTCCTCGTGTCTCTCCATGTCATCTAGCACCATTAATTCAGTAACGTATTATGCTCATAACTTAAATTGATGTATAAACAGGAACTCTAGCGCTTCGCTCTTTTATCTACTACCGCGGTTATTTAGCTCCTGATTTGGTTACTTTTAGGAACTCATGGTCCTATGGCCCATCTTTTTTATTCTCCACCTAAGCCTCCTTAACACATTCGCGACGGGATGTACCACCGGTGGTACACATCGAATGGCAAAACCAATGGTTCAAAATTTCCCCGGCGTGAACGTGTTAAACAACTTTAACTTTTCCCTTTCTCAGTACTCATTAACCAATCACCTTCGATTATAAATCCCACTTTATTTCACTATGCCTATCAGCGAACGCTTTGCAAAAAATTCCGCCCTAGAGGACAGCATCGGAAAACGCTTAAAAAGGAGTCCCTCTGGGCATAGTCAGAATCTTCTATATTCTCCGGCGGACTAACTTCAATCGCTTCGCACGCGACATTGCACTGGCCTTAGTTAGATTTCCGCGCGTAATCGAACACATTGTACTTCAAGAACCGGACTTCAATTGTACACTTTCGAACATAAGCTCAGATCGTTAAAATAAATTATTAAGTTTTTCAACGATCCAACAATAATCAACATCATTTTCAGCTTCGACTTGCTCATTCTTCCTTTTATCGGTTTGGGAATCCTGAAGTGTGCCACTCGCAGCTTTGACGTTTTGTTTCTGGGTCATTCTCGAAACACCATGTTTCACCCCCGGTAATGACATTGTCCAAGAAAGAAGGTTTAATTTCCACGCGTTCGAGAAATTCAGTCGCGACAGTCATCCGGTGATTCTTCTGATCGTCAGTTAAAAGCTTAGGAACCAGCCTGACACACACCTTCCTCATTTGCAATGTATCGGTCACCAGTTTGTGTACAATTGTTTTCGGAGTGTTGAGAGTTTCTGCAATCATCCGGACACTCAACCGACGGTCAAAATTTAACAGATCGTGCACACGGGTCAAATTGTCGTCAGTTGTGCTGGTTGACGGCCGTCCAGCGCGGGGTTCGTCGACCACCACTTCCCGGCCTTCCTTAAACGCTTTCAACTACCGCGAAACTTGCGAATACGATACAGCAGTATCCCCGAAAGCTTACACAATCAATTCGTGGGTCCCTGCAAGAGGTTTGTTCAGTTTTGAACAAAACTTTATCGCGTAACATTGCTCGGGTGACGATTTCATCGCGTTTTGTGACACAGGTACTAAACAGGGGTGCGCGGAACCAGCGATCTTGACGCCTTAACTGCTCGAAGCAGATTGGCGAAGGCATCGCTTTGAAGCTGAGAGCCCCCCCCCGCCAACTTATTCCAACCGGTCGGAAGTGTCTACGGCCACTTTAAGTACCAGGACAAAAGAAACTGCTTTAGTTTCCGGACACACCTCGTATTAAGTTTGGTGAAGTAAGTTTTGAGATACAATAGGACACGCGAAAGTATCAGTTAATATTATTTAACAAGTTGTTTAATACGCATAGGTCTATGAACTGATTAGTGTAATCTATACTCTACAAATAAATGAACATTTAGTTCAGTCTTTTGTTAATAAGGAGATTTCAATTTGTTAGAAAATCGATGTCTTTGGCATTGTCAAATGAATGTTTAAACATTCAAGTGGTCCTCAATAATTCAATGTTTGATTACATCTCATTCTTTCCTACTTACATTTCGCTTGCTTATCATATTCATCTGTCCATATTTTACTCGCTACCCGCATTTATATTCTTAGAACTCCGCTTAAAGACTACAGGACTATTCTCGAATCAAATGCAACAGTTGTCGGTGCAAATGATAATACTATCTGGCAACCGCTCATGATGCTTCATCTGATCACAGTTAAGAGAATACGTCTACTTGATATATTATAATGCTTCAGAAGAGAAAGGTGGCAACTAAAATGCAATCTGTATTACACTTTAAGAATGGAAATAAATGAAACTCGGGCTTAAGTAGATTATTCATTTATTCTAAGACAGGTGCTGTATTACCCCACATCTTTTAATGGTAATTAATATTTTGACAGTTACAAATAATGTTAACAATTTATAAGCGTTTAAAATTCGTGATGAGAATAAGGATTCGTGTTTGCTAAATCGTGTCGATTGACTCGTGCAGAAATTATCCTTTTCAGGTAATAAAGTTTAGAAATATGTGAATATAAAAACAAAACGGATGTCAAAATGTGATTTCCTGGGTTTTGAATTTTACGTTTGCGTTACCATGTGTTCAATATTCAGAATTTCATTTACTATTTGGAGTGGACTATACTTTCAGTTGTGAGTTGAGCCCAATTTGATTTTCCACGTTGTATTGTAATATTTGCGTGGGAAAAGCGTGAATTCATCTAGTGGTTTTAAAGACATCTTATTTATTTTTAGAGTAAGTTTAGGATTTTTTATTATTGCGAATGTGGCAATAGCAGAACCAGGGCCGGGATTTAGTCGTCCGAGAGATGTTTGTACTAACCCTGCTTGCAGAGCTGCAGGTATACAATATGACTTTTACTAAAAATAGACGCGTTTCCATGCAAAACAGAGTATGCATAGGAAATACATTTGTACATCTAAGATACATAGCATATTTAGCGAGACAAATTTTGTCCCACAATGTACATAATATTGACGGATATACCCAACAAATTTCTATTCTGCAATTTCTTTTCAATTCTATGTACGTGTTTACCTAGTTTTAATGAACGCGTGACTATGAACATACAAAAATTATATTGTAATACTTACTTATCTGGAAAAGTTCAATACCGAAGAATTTTCCCAGTGACTGTAGTACGGTAAATATCCTATAATGCATACATCTTTATTATATTTCCTACATTTTTGTAACCATGCAGCTGATGAATTTTTGAAGAATATGAACCCTGCAGTGTCTCCTTGTACCGATTTTTTTGACTATGCTTGCGGAAACTTTAAAAATCATCATCCACTGGATCCAAAAGAAGGCACTATCGATTATTCCATGAAAATAAAGACACAAATTAACAATCGATTACGAGGTACAGTTTCATACATAGTTCCTATGGTTTTATGATTAAATAAAAGGTATTAATTCATAGAAATGAAGGACTGTTGAATTAATATTTTGCAGAAATTGCCGAAAGCCCAGTCAAGAACACCGACAGTTCCTCCCTCAAGAAAGCTAAACTTGCGTATAAAGTGTGCACGAATGAAGGTACGAATCTGAATATTGCAGAAAAACTTCGATTTCTGAATAAAATTCTAATGGTCAAAACTAACATAATTATGAGGACGTAATATTACTGGAAACATTTAAAGTCGATTGAAGCAACTCTAGTACTCTGAAAGTATCGAAGAAATGCGTTCGTCTTTTTTCTGTCAGATTATAACAATTGAAACATACTGATACTGCGTTAATCGGTGGTGTTTGTCTTCTTATGTTTGTATAGAAATGTGAAAAAAATATTCTTCATTTTTTAGAAGATCTCGAGGAAGAGGGCATACGTCCTATAGCTTTAGAAATAAACAAACAAGGAGGTTGGCCGATGGCAATGAATAATTGGACCCCGGGATCCCGATCCTGGATCGACATAGAAATGTCGTATATTAGCATGTTGGGCGAGTCAGCATTTTTTAGGGTCACCGTTGATCCCGATAGTACCATCGATACAATAAATACTCTAATGGTATATTCTTGTAAGAGAATGGGAAAATCAAAGTTTGCATTTTCTCCACTGAAGCGATGTCGTTTCTTCTCACAACGAAAATCTTATGAAATATTAATATGAGTATTATCAAACAATACTTAACGCCACCTTGGAGCGGCTAAGTAGGAAGATAAAATTAAATAGAACGTATGCTTATGAATAATCACGATAATTTCTACGTTTATGATTTGTAGTCAAAGAAGTAAATAACTTCTTCACATACCTTTTTATAGGGTACGCAGGCATACAATTTCATTTTGTATTTCATTTCTGTAGTGACGAGAACTGAAAACTGTTCGAGTTTAAAAATGATACATGCTTTCATGTTTAATGACTTTGGTTTTAATGACCATTCTACTTTACATATATGATATATTGTATATGATATGCAGTCGAATATTTATATTCCACATAGTTGAGTCCTTGCACATCTATGCTGCCTTTTTACGTACGGAAACATCAAGAACATCATAAGGACAAAATCAAATTATACCGTGACTTTATTATTGAAGTAGTCAAGGAGTTTGTAATGTTCATCACTCTTCCGCCATATAAGATTAGTGAAGAAGCACAACAAATAATAGATCTAGAAATTGCCTTGACAAACGTGAGTACGTCGATTTCTTACGTCTATAGGGTGATGTTTAGTATGTAATGATTTGTCGGAAATTGAATGTTTCACAAAACGTCTTAAATGTACTAGAAATGAAAGGATCCGTTTTCGTTGAACTCTCTAATAATAGAATGTTCAACAGTTCAAACAGCACTTAGTGAATTGACTTAAGTGTACATTTTTTTGAAAAGTTTTTTACAGTGTAATTGAAATGTGGCACAGTTAATGAAAGGTTGTATAAACGGAAAGCCGGAACAGTAACCAAAGTTGTTCGTTGCAGATTAAAACACTGAGCAAAGCAAACGAAATTGTAGAGACGACTCCTGCACATTTTCAAGACGAATATGATAAAATACGTCATGTAACTCCTAATTCAAAGGTAAGACCATAACGTATGGGGAGGAATATTCAATTTTACTAAATTTGCGGATATACTTCAGTCATAGACTACATTGTCTCAAACCACGTTTATTTGTAAGAATGATATGACCATAACTTTGCGAATTAGAAATATTAAGATTACAAAAATAATTTGAATCTTAACAATGACCGTAAATTGTCATAATTACTCGTTATTGACATTTTCACAGCGGTATAAAGTGTTTTTATGATTTAAAAAAAAGCGTGACACAGGTAGAGTCAAATCAGTTATGTGTAAATTGCGATTTTGCAATGAAAACAAATCACATGCATTATTTTAAATGATTTCATGCAGATAATCTGGGCGGATATGTTAAAGAGCATTTTTTCGCAAACGAATTTCAACTTTGCTCCGACTACTATAAAACTACAAAATAAGGGCTATTTTGTACAATTAGCGAAACTGTTGGATAAAACACCGACCCGAGTATTAGGTAACAAGTATTATTTTCATAATTCTGTTAAAGACCACAAGAACAATTTATAAGTTCAAATCTTTCAAGTCAAACGGATCAGATAAGTGAAACCGCAAGATGATGGAAGAATATGTTTTAATAATTTTATTAAATGCATGTATCTGAATTAAAGCAGTGGAGCAAAAAGTTTATTTGTAAAATTCATCAAAAGTTAGGCATGTATTTTATATTTTTGCTTAATATAGACAATAGAAATACATGTTCTAATTATCGTAACATTTTCACAGTGAATTTTATTCATTGGCAATATGTTCGACGTTTAATAAAAAATTCTGGAGAATCCATGAGACGTCGGTACAACGATGTAAGAGAAGAGTTGCTTTATGGGAAGGCGCAGAAATGGTACCTTTTCTAAACTGATTTTCTGAAAAACTGTAGAAATCTTGATTGTTTCGAGGTGCAAGGCATTAAGCATGGTTCACATTGCCTTAAAATACTGAGAAATTTAAGGATGCGATGTTACAGGTGGCAAGATTGTTTAGACACAAACCCTGCAATAATTGCTTTCATCCATCAATACTTGAAGAATCACGCTTCAAAGAAATCTCTCGAAACAGTAAGTTACTTCATCGTCTCATGAAAAATTCTACCAGTTACTTTATATTCTGGGTTATAAATCGTCACTATCCCTTTATCGATATTCAACTACGTTACGATGGCAAGTTGTTTTTTTTATCAGTAGAATGGATATTTCGATACATTATTATTACTTAATACCTAGTAAATATTACACTTGCTAAATAAGAAATGATACACCTACTGATCCTATCACCTTAATCCAAAGTCGAACGCTAGAGAGATAATTGAAATGAGTATTGTTATAGGTTGGAACAATGGTTGACCATCATAAATCACAATTGGAATCGCAAATTGAGCATACACTTTGGTTGGATTATTCTACGCGACTTGCATTGATGAAGAAGGCTAAGTCTGTAACTAAGTTCCTCGGATATCCACCTTGGTACAAAAGTTCTTCGGTCATCGACGAATATTATGCCCTAGTATAAATTACATTTGTGTATACCCAGTCTATACAATAGGAAGTAATTGCATATAATGTCGTTTGTTTTTGCAACAGCTAGAGGTCACAAACAACCATTTCCAAAACTTACTTAATTTCAAGAAATTCACCATCTATCAAACTAAACGGTTACTGCTAGCACCAGTCGGACAGTTCCCAGAACATTCTATGTAAGAAGTTTATTAACCGACCTTTAATTGAAAATTAATTACTGAAGAGTTGCTAGTGGATAACCATTATATTTATATAAAGCGAAAATTAAATCGTCAGAAGAAAAACTACTTGTGATCAATATTGTTTCCTTCTGAAACTTTGTTGCTAATATCTCTGTCATGACGAACATAACATTCGCGATGTAACTAGTTGATTTCTAGAAATTGAAATATTTTCTTAGAAAATACTGAATATTGGTATAACCAAATAGCAGCTTAGATTTTACTTCTTTTATTAACAATAGTATTCTAAATCTCTACCAGTTTTGCAACAAAAGTGTAACCCTTTCATTTCAATAACAGATGGTCTCAAAGTGTTCTCGAAGAGACTGCATACTTCATTTCTGCTTTCAATTCGTTAAGTAAGTGTGTTGTGTTCCCCTCGTGAATAAAAAGGGTATTAACATGATCGTTACAATCTTTTAATTTCCAGTTATACCTTCAGGAGCGTTGCATTTTCCTTTCTTTCATGGGGAAGATGTACCTGAGTGAGTATGATAAAATGCTTTTTAAACGTAAACATTTCACATTTATGATGGCTGTCGAACATTTGTCCGCAGAAACTATCAATGTTTTTGTAAGAAAAGTACATGCTAGCTTTACAATTTCCACGATACATGACCAAATATTTTTTACTTTATGACAGCAAGTACATATGTATACAATACTCAGATATTTTTTTGCTGTAGGAATGTATTATATGGTTCTACTGGCAATATTATAGGCCATGAATTATCCCATGGATTTGACGATGAAGGTAAGGTATTAATTCTTTTTGTCTAATGAAACTTTGAGACGTTTGTTTCTGTAAGAGAAGGATTTTTTATGGTTGAGAAAACGGGTTTTATTTAATCGATAATTAAAGAAAACAGTTTGTTTCTGTACCTTCGAGCCATAAAAGAATGGTATAGAATTTGTCGTAAAATTTATATACTTCAGTTGATTCAAAGCTTTATCTTTGTGTCAATTTGTACAAATTTGTCTCAAGAAACAAATGATTTCTTGAATCCAAAAGTGCATGTAGGAGAAACTAACATGTTAAGATTTTTGAACCTTAACAAATTTGTAAAAACCTGTTATCAACTTACAGGTCGACAATATACATTTAATGGTTCATCTCTGGAATGGCCTCCAGATACCTTACAGGAGTACAATGCACGAGTTAAATGTTTCGTTAAGCAATTCAATCAGTATCCATATAAAGAATTGAACGAAATCGGCCGGAAAATTTACGTAAATCAATTTTTCCATTTTTTGTAATTATTTTACAGTTGGTTGTTAAGTCGGTAAATATGATATGTGTTACTACTGGTTCTTCTAGTTTTGGTAATTTTTCAGGCCGATGGAAAGCTGACTGCAAGTGAAAACATGGCGGATACAACTGGCATGTATATTGCTTTTGCTGCTTTTCGAGATCGGGCCAGAAAAAGAAATAAAGACTACAAAAAGTTGCCCGGTCTGGAAAATTTGACCGACAATCAGCTGTTTTTCCTCTCATTTGCTAATGTGAGTGATGGAGTGATACAATATTTTAGATTACATCAATAACTTTCGTAAAATTGTAATCTTAAATTGCAGTCAGTATATTTACAATTTATGTTCAAAGTCTGATACCATTTTCATGGCTGCTTATTTTATGACAACCTTGACTCTAAATGACGATTGCAATTCTGAAGAACTTGCGGCCTGTAATTTTTTTGTATTGTACGAATTATAGGAATTTAGGGAAATTTCTGTTTACAGACATGGTGCTCCTATACACAACCGGAGAAGCTTTTGTTCATGTTGCTCCTTAAGTTGCCCCACAGTATTTCAAGACATCGTGTAATTGGTACTTTGTCGAACATTGCAGACTTTGCCAAGGCGTTTAATTGTCCACATAATAGCGCCATGAATCCCCGTGATAAGTGCTACTTGTGGAAATGAATATGGTTATTCAAACATCAAAAAATGTATGTTTGTAAAGTAAATCTTAACAACTCTGTATGCCTTGAATAAATAATACAAAAATCAGAACCCAGAATTTTCTCTTTCCCATTTTACGAAATAAGGAAGACCTCTCATATTCGCATGCGGCATAAATGCAATCGTTGTTAGTGCAAACGATCATATGACCAAGCAATCACTCACGATGTATATTTTATCTTGCTATGACAGTCGACAAAAAGAAAACTAATCTGACGCATTAACACGTTTCGTGCCGAAAAAAATTACAAGTACGCTGTCGTATCAGTTGGAAATCGATTCGTGAAGAACTTATCTTTTTTAGGCAATGAAATTCTAAAAAAAATGTGAATATAAAAACAATGCGGATGTCGACATATGACTTTCTGAATTGAAAATCTTCCAAAGTTGGTATCACCATGAGTTCAACATTGAGAGTTCCGTCTACTAATCGGAGAAGAGTATACTTTCAGCTGTAAGTAATTGTATCTAATTAGAATTCATACTTTTTTGATTAAGTATTTTCTTAGGAAAAACGTGAAATTCATCTAGTGACTTAAATGACAACTTATTTGTTTTACAGAGTATGTTTAGTATTTTTTATGACTGCGGATCTGGCATTGGCAGAACCAGGACCGGTATTCAGTCTTCCGCAGAATATTTGTACTAAGCCTGCTTGCAAGGCTACAGGTATACATTATAACATTTTTTATAAAAAGTAGCGATAGGTTTCCACGCGGAAAATTGTTTACGTGGAATATACATTTATACGTCTAAAATATGTATGCCATGCAGTGAATTTCATGTTCTCTCTTGCTCCACAATATGCAATATGGTGTTGCATTTGCACAATACATTTTGTTATACGACGCGGTCAGCCGTCGTGCACAATGCGAGACGGGGGTGGGCGGATGACGCGGAAGGTCGCGGAAGGGCGCGGATGCGCGCGGATGGCGCGGAAGGCGCGGAAGGCGCGGAAAAGCACAAGAAGAACAGGAGGCATGGGAGGCGCAAATGAGCGCGAATGCCCCCCCCCCATAAAAAGAAGGGGATGGGTTCCGGAAGCACAAAGACCTTCGGGAGATCGATGGGCGACCGCCGCGCGAAGTTACGGAACCACCATAAGTAGGCCCCAAAGACGAAGTCGAAAAGTGCAGCCAGGACGGCCACTTCGAGGGCTTCCATCCGAACCCATCCTTCAGGACGGGATCTCCATGGAAAAGTTTCCACGAGAGTCGAGCGGCTCTAACAATAGTCAAAAGGGGCCGCGAGTGGCCCCTTTGTATTTCTAATTTTGGTATTAATCGGCGGGCAACAATTTGTTCTCTGCTTCCTTTTCTTATAATCTTTTACACCTATTCATGTAGATCCATTCTACTTTTGACTTACGTATAAGGATGATGACCAACTTAACGAATTGAAACTTACTTCATTATATACAATAGTTCATTGCCAAAGAATTATGCGAGTGGCTGTAGTACTACATATATACTCTAATATATAAATCTTTATTATATAATTTTTCACATTTTTGCACCAACGCAGCTAATGAGTTCACGAGGAATATGAACCCTTACGCACCTCCTTGTACGGATTTCTTCGAGTTTGCTTGCGGGAAGTTCAAAGATCATCACCCACTCGGCCCCGAAGAGAGCACGACCGATTTCTTCACAGAAATGGAAAAAGAAATTAATAATCGAATGCGAGGTAGAATTCCATTTCTTACGTTCAATTCTTACGTTCTTACAATTAAAAAGGTATGATTCATAAAAAAGATAGAATGTTAAATCAATATTTTGCAGAAATTGCGGAGGCCCCAGTCAAGGACTCTGACAGTGCCTCCCTGAAGAAAGCCAAATTGGCGTATCAAGTGTGTATGAATGAAGGTAGGAATATGAACATTTCTAAAAGATGTTGACCGCTGTGCTAAGTTCTAAGTGTTAAGTTACTGTAACTACGGAGGCGTCAAATTACTAACAAAATTTTGCTAAAATTTGTTGAAGAAATCCAGCATTCTGCGTTGAAGAAATGCGTTCGTCTGTTTTTTTTTTGGATTATAATAAATTAAGAAATACGGATGCTGCGTTATTCTACAGTGATTGCTTTCTTTTTCGTTAACTGATGTCCTTGCATTTATATAGAAACGTGAAAAATATTGTTCTTTATTTTGCAGACGCTCTCGATCAGGAGGGCATAAATCCTATAGCTTCAGATATACAAAAACAAAAAGGATGGCCGATGGCAATGGATAATTGGAACTGGAAATCCCGAACCTGGATGGACATAGAAAAGTCATATACAAGTAAATTAGGCGAATCAGCATTTTTCACAGCCATTGTTGAACGCAATAACATTTTCAAATCAACAAATACTCTGACGGTATGTTCTTGTAGGAGAATGGAAAAACCACGGTTTACATTATCTTCTTTAACTGTTGTCGTTTCTTCTCTTTGCTAAATTCTCACGAAGTGAAAAATATGAGCATCATGAGTGCTTAATACCGTCTCAGGACAGATAAATGAAAAGAATAAATTAAATTAAATCAATTAAATATTTTATAGAAAGTCACTATAATTACTCTTTCTATTACTCGTAATTAAGGAAGTACATAAGTTACTAACATATCTTCTTATGTAGCGCGATAGCATTTCCATTCTCAATGTTACTTTCACAGTGAGAGGAATTGAAACGAGATCAAATTTATTAGTTATATATGCTTTTATGTTTGATGATATGATTTTATTAAACAAATGGTCAATCTATTATACATGAACTATACGTTGTGTACAACATATACTAAAATATTCATTTTCTTATTAGTTAAAGCCTCCCGTATTTTTACTGCCTTCCTACGTACTAAATAATCCGGACCAACATCAGGACAAAATCGAGTTATATCGCGACTTTATTGTTGACATAGTGAAGAATTTTCAAACGTCCGTCAACATCCCTAAACAGAACCTTCGTGATGAAGCGCAACAAATAATAAATTTGGAAATCGAGTTGACACGAGTGAGTACGTCAATTTCGTCACTTTTGGATGTTTCAACGAGCAGCATTCGCTCGAATCGAAGTAACTTAAATGTAAACAATTCCGAAAAGATTCTTGCAGTGTAACAGAAATGCGGCACTGTTCTTACAACTTAGTGTAAATAAAAAAAACTGGAACTGTAAATTATATTACAAATTGCAGCTTAAAAATCTCGCTGACGTCCGCCAAAGAAACTCACTTTCACATACGACTCCTAAACAATTTCAAATAGAGTATGACATTATTCCTCACAGAACTAGTAATTCAAAGGTGAGATTATAATTTTTGGGGATGAATTTTACTTATCTTATGGATATGAACTTTTGAGTACATTGCCTTAAACAATGCTTATTTATTATAATAATATATCCTTACGTTAGTAAATTTGGAATATCAGAAGCCAAAAAAGAACTTGCATTTATTCTAACACGATAGTTAATTGTGATAATTGCTTTTCGTTGACATTTACATTGTAACTTGAAAAAATAATATAATTTTTAAATGAGCGTACTTAATATAGCAGTAAATTATGTTTAAATTTGATCTGGTGATGAAATGAAACTATTTTCAAATTATGTTATTCAGATAATTTGGATGGATATGATCAATAGCATTTTCTCGCAAACGAATTACGTTCTTCCTCCGTCTGGTTTTCTAATTTTAGAAAATGAAATCTATTTTAAACAATTGGCGGTGCTGCTGGATAAAACACTAACCCGAGTATTAGGTAACTATCGTTATTTTTATCACCCTGTTAGTGACCACAAAACTTTATTAGGGGGAAGAAAAGGTTTATGTATGGAACTAATTAAAAGTTAGCCACATTTATATTTTTTAATTATGTGGATAATACGAAAGCATGTTCTCATGGTTAAAACTTTTTCACAGTGAATTTCGTACATTGGCAGTATGTTCGACGTTTACTAAGATATTGCGACCAAGCTACAAGAAATCGGTACACTGTTTTAAAAAAAGAGTTGCTTCGCGGAAATTCACAGGATCGGTATGTTTTCTAAACTGACTTTTTCAAGATATTCTGATAACTTTAATGTTATGTGGCAAAAGACATCCTTAGGGTTTCGTGTCGGCCTTAAAAAACTCAGAAATGGAAATGATGTTACAGGTGGCTGGAATGTTTGCATCAAAATCCTGCAGAAATTTCGTTGATCCACCGGTACCTGAAGAATCACGTCTCAAAGAAATCTCTCGAGACTGTAAGTTACCTTACTGTCTCAAAAAAGAACTGCTAAAATTTAAACAATTACTTTATATTTTCTGTTATGATATTGTCATAACCCCTTTCTTGACACTGTTACGCTACCCAATTGTTTATATTTTCTTTATCAGAATAAATAATAGTTTAGTGAATGTTAGTTTAGTTATACATGCTAAATGAAAGATGATAAATGTATTTATCGTATCACTTTATTTAAAAGCCGAAGGATAGGGAGATAATAGATTCATGCATTGCTTAGATTGGCAAAATGGTTGACTATCAAAAGTCTCGACTGGAGCAACAAATTCTTCATAGTACTTGGCTGGACAATGCTATGCGCAATGAGTTGGCCAAGAAAGCTGAAACGGTGAATAAATTTCTGGGATATCCTGCTTGGTATAAGGATACTGAAGCCATTGACAAATATTTTTCCACGGTAAGAATTACATTTTTTTCACAACTAATCTATATACAACAGGAGATAGCGACAAATAATGTTATTTGTTTTTTTGACAACAGCTAGTGGTTAGAGACACCCACTTTAAAAATGCAATGTATTTCAAAAAGTTCACCATCTATCGAGCGATAAAGTTATTGCAAACACCAGCCGAAAAGTACCCGGAAAGCTTGATGTAAGAAGTTAATGAAACCTTTTTAACGGAGGAAGTTTTTCATCGAAGGAAGTTCATATAAAACGAAAATTATCGTTAGAAAAAAAATTGCATGTAATCAATACGAGTTTCTGCTCAAACTTATGTGTATTATCTCTGTCAAGACGAATATGAATTTGAAGAAATGACCAGCTGATATCTAGAAACTGAAGTGTTTTCTAGGAAAATAGTAAATATTGGATTAAATGCTTAGATGAAACTATGCCAGATCTAGGGTGGGACTTAGTATGTTAAATGGCCTTTATCTTTGACTTTACATCATACATTGACAAGGATATTCTAAACTTTCATCACTTGCGCAGCCGAATTTAAATCTTTTTTTTCTCCAATAACAGATGGAGCGAGGGTGTTCTTGAACCAAATGCATATTTCAATCAACCTCTCAATTCATTGAGTAAGTGTGTTATTTTCCTTGTTAATAGAAACGGCATGAATTTATTCATTGCACTCTTTACTTTTCCAGTTGTACCTGCTGGAATGTTGTTATCTCCTTTATTCCACGGCGAAGACGTGCCCGAGTGAGTATAGTAAAATGTGTTTTAAACATAAATGTTTTACATTTATAACGGCAATAGCCGTTGACCATTTATACATCGAAATTGTTAACGTCTTCGTACGAAATGTACGAGCTAGTTATTATAATTTCCACGACATATAGCCAATTATTCTTCAATTTACGAAAACAATCACATCGCTGTATACAGACCCACCCCCTTAATAAAGTTTTACTTTGTTACAGAAATGTTTTGTATGGCTCTACTGGCGGTGTAACAGGCCATGAACTATCCCACGCATTTGACGATCAAGGTAATCTACTAGTTTGTTTCGTCTGACAATTATAAAACTTTGAGTCGTGTATTTCTTCAACAGAAATTAGTTTCATGATTGAAAACATTTCTTTCAATGAAAATTTCTTTCAATTCTGATATCTAAAGAAAAAGTTTTTTCCTATATCTTCTTGGCATTTAAAAATAAGGTATAGGCAATGAAAAAGGTAAACGCATTGTTGCAACATATATTTTATGGGCAATATGTTAAATACAGGTATTCTATAAAATGCATGGGCAATGTGATACATTTTTTTACACGTTTCTCAAGCATTGTGTACAATTTCCAATTCATCACGTTACCTGTAACATATGCATTGAACTATTACAATGTTTTATATACGTGCAAATTTGTGCAAATTTCTGAAGAAGCAAACAATCCCACCAATCCAGAAATGCATATAACAGGATCTAATAAACTAACATCAAAACTAGCAACGACCACAGTGAGAAAATAACGTGTTTCAATCTTTGAACTTTTTTAATAATTCGGAAAAACCTGTGATCAATTTACAGGACGTCAATACGCATATGATGGCTCTCCCTTGGCCTGGAGTCAGAATAACTTACAGGAATACAGAGCACGAGCCAATTGTATCGTTAGGCAATTCGATGCGTATCAAAATAGAGAAAGGCCACAACATGGCCGAAACGTACGTCATTCCTCCAATTTTACTTCACTTATTATGCAGTTACTTATTATGTTAGTAATTAAGGTATGTGCACTGCTTCATTTTCCATTTTTAATAATTTTTTAGTCTTATGGAAAGAGGACAGAAAAAGAGAACATGGCCGATACAAATGGAATGTACGTTACTTATGCTACTTATAAATATCGGGCCGCACAAAGGAATAAAGAATACCAAAAGTTGCCTGGACTGGAAGATTTGACAGACGATAAGCTGTTTTTCCTCTCTTTTGCCAATGTGAGTAGCAAAAGAATATACAATGAAGATTTTTTGCATACATTTGTAATTTCTATAAAATGAGAATCCTAATTGCCGCCATTACGGTATTACGTGAAGTTTGAAATCCTGAAGTTTAAAATATTCGCGGCATTGTTTGTATAATGACATCCTCGGCTGTTAATAACGATTGCAATTTTGAAGAACTTACAACGTTCACTTTTTTTTTTCAACGTACAACTGGGAAAATTAAAAAAATTTCTGTCTCACAGACATGGTGTTCCTATACAAAACCGGAGCAGGTTTTGTTCATGACACTCATTAAGGCGTCCCATAGCATTCCAAGACATCGTGTAATTGGTACTTTGTCGAACATCAGAAGCTTCGCCGTGGCGTTTGGATGTCTACCTAACACTCCCATGAATCCTCGGGATATATGCTACTTGTGGGATTGAATTCTTGTAACTTTAAATAATTTATGAGTATCTACTCTCAACATATCCCTCCTGCGATCGTCTTCATCCAACTGCTCCAATTGTTATGGACATTTTTTATTTGTATTTGGATATATAAAATAAACACTTCCGGGAAGCACAACGAACATTACCCGCTGGGTCCCGGAAAACGCCTTACCTTGCTTCTAAAAATGTATATATATATATATATTTACATTTTTTCGGGTTCGCGGCGGTTCGGGTGTCGCGATAGCGCGCTTTAACGGCAGTAGGTTACTGGACGCTGAAGTGTTGATGCGGGAATTCTTTACTGCTTAATGGCGGTCTACGCGTGATTCTGTCTCGCGATGCTGAGATTTCGAGCTCAGTTGTTTAACGGAAGTTGATGGTTTCTTAATCTATCCTGTTGACCGGAACAAGGCATGGAAATCGCGATAGTGGTTAGAATTCGGTCGGAAATGAGGGGTTAAGATATAATCTAAAATGAAATGAGGATGAATCAAGCTTGCGATGGATCCTCTACCTGGCTTGATCAGCGGCCGGATTCGGTGATAGTCTCTTTTGATCGACCCAGCCGGATGACTGTGCGTGAACACCTTCGTCCCGTGGCGTGCCCTAGGGTTGGAGGTTTCCTAGAAACCTCCTGTCCAACGGAAGTCGCAGTGCCGCCGTCTGATCCTGACTCGGTGGCTGGATCGCTGGAGTACCGGGTGGCAGTACTGCAACTCGTAGGATGGTGTTCCTTGACAGGGAGTCCGGCGGTCTCGTTCTCTGACTCGCTAGGAACGGAGTACCGGGAACCAGGAGCTCCACTCGAAGTTCGGAGATATGGCACTTGAGTAAAGTCGTGTGACTTCTGACTGTCGTATAGCGTAAGATACTATGACATGACTATGACATGCCGTCTTGATCTGACTGCTGGTTTTATTAGCAGGGTGTTCCAATTGGTGGGGGTTTCCTAGGGTCCAGGTGAGGGTGGCGTTTCTGGGTCGTGCTGATGCGTTGCGTAGTCATCAGGTTGTTCGCCCCGGGTCGATCGATGACTTTTGGAGCCGTTTGGTCGATGAACTTGTTGGATCCTTTCGCAAGAGTTTCCTAATCGCGTTTCCGTATACGGATTTCCATGGCTAGCTCCGGTGATCGAAAAATGGGTTTTTCCATACGTTACAGTACGGAGAGTGTCTAAGTAACAAATAAATAGTATCAAAATCAGAATTCAAAACTACTCCCTTTTTATTTCACGAAATGAGGAGGATTCCTTATACCGCGTTTTATGCTGATAAAAGCACCTAATTATGTGGACATTTTACATTCTTGAAAGTTTCGCAAATATTGGTTACACGTATGTAAAAGAGCTTGCTCTAAAATCCTGTTTTATACATGAAAAGCAAATCAATGTACGTAGTAGGTATGCGGCTCTATCTTAAAATCGTTCGTTTCATAGTTATATAAACATTTAACTAAATCGCTTATTTATTAATTTTAGATAAATGAATGAGTAAAATAACAGTTATTCAGTAACCTGTAACTTTTTCAGAGTAATTACTGACTTCAAAAATTTGATTGTGCCTCTTAGAGATAAGCGTCGGTAACACCACGCCACTAAAATCACTTTTTTGTAAAAAAAAAGAGCCTCTCCAAGTATAAGTTCGCCATTCATATTTTACAGTATGTTTCTAAATGCATATAGATAGAAAAAGTATTGAAATCATATTACAAAGTTAAGTACAGAAGTCACTACATGTTTTCCTCTCTTACGATCGGACATTACGCTGTCATTTTAATTTCTTTATTTACACTTATTGATATCTTTGCTATTGCTTTTCATGATACCACTGCTCCATTAGATGAAGTATAATGCATTGCCATTTAGTAATAAAATGTTTAATGATTTTTTATTGAGTACTAGCTGGCAGATTAACTGCTGACTTATCCTGGAACGTATAGCGATCAACTGCAAGGGTGAACTGAATTTATTATTAGTATGATTACAACGTTTTTCAAAGAATTGTATGCTTTAGTAGCGAGGATCCGAATAATTTCGGAAAAGATATTGGTTTTAAAAATTAGATTCAGCACAGGTGAGTACCAGTATATACGGTTCTCCTTCTTTTCAATATATTCATATATGGTATTTAGACAGTGGTTATTTTCAACTTGATAATCAGTTCATTCAAGACAAAAATCATATATAATAAATTGCAGGATATATGAACCGAAGACGTCAATTTTGTGGAATGTATCCGCCTCGTGCCATTCATAGTCCTTATGTCTTACAACGAAGACTCCTTCAAACCTTAATTGTTTATGTTTAAACTATTGCTGAGTGCCTCTTGTTAAATATGATATTAGCTACACTTATTATTTATAAATAAAAAGAAAAGTTTTCTTTAATTTCATCGTAGAACCTTAAATTTTGCTGGCATTGGTTTTACATTGACATTATTTAAGATTTGCGGTGGAACTGCGATACTCTGCATATTTTGTTAAGAATTCATTTTTGGCAGTTAGAAATGAAATTAAGAACGATTTTTATGTATTTAAAATTCGTGACGCGGGCAAAGACACTTATCTGCACAATCGTGTTGGTTGGAAATCGACTCGTGCAGGCGTTATCCTCTTCAAGTAATAATATTCCTGAAAACGTGAATATAAAAACAATGCGGATGTCAAAATGTGATTCCATGGGTTAAGAATGTTCTAAAATGTGTATCACTATGGATTCAATGTTAAAAGTATTGTCTACTAGTTACAGAAGTGTATACGTTCAGTTGTAAGTAATTGCACCTAATTTGATTTCACTGTTGTTTTATTTATTCAATAATTTCTTGGAAAAAGCGTGAATTTCGTCTGGTGGTTCTAAAAGCATTTCATTTATTTTACAGAATAAGTTTAGGAATTTTTATATTTGCGGATTTCGTATTAGCAGACCCAGGGCCGGAATTAAGTCGTCCGAGGGATGATGTTTGTATTAAGCCTTCCTGTAAGGTTACAGGTATGTATAATATGATATTTTTATACACAATAGCGGTACTTCTCTATGCAAGAAAGTGTTTACATAGAAAGCACATTTATGCATATAAAATGTGGCACGGTGCCGCATGTGGTGAGGCTAGACAATATTGCCCTATAATGTTCAACAAGATATTGTTGCGTATACTCGGCAAGTTTCTATTTTCTAAGTTTTCTACATTTGATATAGCTACTTATTTATCTAAAGTTTGTTCTCTTTCTGAATTATAAGCGTAATTACAAATTTAAAAAGTTGAAACTTACGACTTATTGCCCAAAGTAGTCCAATGCCGTAGAATTATCAGTGCCATATTATAGTAGCTAAAGCACTGCTTGAATACGTATTATATCATTTTTTATTATATCTGTATGCAAACAGCGGATGAATTTTTGAGGAATATGAAACTTTCTGTAAGTCCTTGTACCGATTTCTATGAGTATGCCTGTGGAAATTATAAAGATCATCACCCACTGGATCCGGATGGCAGCTCTACTGATTATTTCAAGGAAATGGAATTACGAATTAATAATCGAATCCGAGGTACATTTCGTTTTTATGATGCTGCACATAACAGCTATCAATTAGAAGAAAAGATTTATCGTTAAATTGATATTTTGTAGCAATTGCCGAGGCACCCGTCACGAATAGCGACAGTGTCTCCCTGAAGAAAGCTAAATTAGCATATAAAGTGTGCATGAATGAAGGTAAGAACCTGAAGATTTAACACTATTTCTACCAAAGGTGTCAAAAGACACCTTTTAAAACTTTTAACTAGAAATTATTTTCAAAGTTTAATAATTTGTTCTCAATTCATGTTTTGAGTTTTTGTATAATAATTGTTAAATTTATTTAGCGGTATCATTTTCGTCCAGCTCATCAAAACCTTCTGATCGAAATAGGTATACACAAAATCGTGGTAGAAATAGTGTTAAGAAAAAGTTAGTCTTTTTTACAAAGTTTATGAGTTAGCATAACTAGAGGGACGCAAAATAGTAAAACTCCTCTAAAATTGATTGAAGTGATTTCAGTATTCTGAGTGTCGATAAAATGCATTAAAATCTTTCTTTTATGTTACAACAAATTGAGTAATACTGATATTGTGATAATCTATGGTGTTTGTTAACTGCTGCCCTGAAAACGTGCAAAAAGTTTTCTTTCGTTTGCAGAAGCTATCGAGAGGTCGGGCATACTTCCCGTAGCTCAAGCCGTAAACAATCAAGATGATTGGCCAATGGTAGTGGATGATTGGCAACCAAAAACCAAAACATGGATGGACATAGAAATGTCATACATTAAAACTTTAGGCGAGTCAGCATTTTTCCGTGGCATTGTTGAGCCCGATATTGTTACCAGAACAGAAAATTCTTTAACGGTACGTTCTTATATGAAAATAAAAAAATTACCGTTTACATTATCTTTTCCAAGTATTTTCGACATTCCCACTACTGAAATACCACGAAATGAAAAATATGAACATTACCGTACAATGCTTAACACTATTACAAAATGCTTAAGTAAGAAGATAATATGAAATTAGGTCAAATCAACGTTTTTTAAAAATTATGATATTGCTATCACTTGGTTACACACGTAATTAAGGAAGTATATCAATTTATAATGAATCCTTTTATGGAGCATGGTGGCATTCAATTTAATTGATATTTTCATTTCCGCAAAGGACAGAATTGAAACACGTTCGAATTTATAAATAATATGTATGTACGGTGCGTAGTTATTTTGATTTTAATCACCATTCTATTATACATACGTGATATATCGTATACGTATAACAAAAAATTTATTTTCGTGTTACAGTTGAGTCCTCCCAAATTTATACTGCCTACCTACGTGTTAAAGAACCCAGACCAACATAGAAACAGTATCGTGTTGTACCACAACTTTATTATTGACGTAGCTAAGGAATTTGTAATGTTCATCGATGTTCCCGAAGACAAAATCAGTGATGAAGCACAACAAATAATACGTCTGGAAATTGCTTTAATAAAAGTAAGTATGCTACCTTCATACGTTAATAGGCTGACATTTGCATATGTTGAGATTTATTAGGAATGGAATGTCTTACGTTTCTCAAATATATTTTTAAAGATATCCTGTATATTTTACAGCTTAAAGCAGCTAACAAACCCCATGGAGGAAATACAGTAATTCGAATTTTTCTGGAACAACTTCAAATAGAGTATGACAAGACTCCTCATAAAACCCGTAATTCAAAGGTGGGATTGTAATTTATGGAGATGATCACTGAATTTTACTAAATTTATGGTTGTATTTCACCTTTCAAGTATATTTCTTAGGGATGCTACGGTTTCTGTGGTACCAAGGTTTAACACTTGATTAGGATTCTGTTCGATATGAACAAACATCATCTCAAAGGAGAAGCTCAATTAGTTTGGGAGATCATTATTTTCTTTGATTTTAGATATTTTAATTTTTTTACATATCTCGAATACTGTGCGAGACACAATACAATTTTATATAACCTTTTCGATAGAAAATGTGACTCCCTACAAGAAAGGTTATATGTATTTTTATCGTATCTCGCATAGTTTTTTTTAGATAGAATGGATTTAGTTGAAAATGTCTATTGACATAACGATAGTGCCAATTTTTTCGAAGAAATATGTAAGATACGGATGAACAACACACATGTTTTTTGTAGGGGATTTAATTTTCTATAAAACTGCTTGTATGTATTTTTTTGTATTTGCCGTAGTTTTAGAGATATTGCGAGTCGAAAAAAACGTGTGCCTTACAAATTTTACAATCTTGATGCTTTTCCGTCGCGCCAAAGTTTGACAATTATTTCTTATCAATTTTTGCATAAAAACAGGAATTTAAATATAGAAACATAATATATTATTCTAATATCTTATTTTTTATAAATAATTAACAGTTAGACCGATAATAGTTTTTGGTCCTGCAAAGTTTGGGGTCCAGGGGTCAAGCCCCGGTGGAGGTTGGGGAGCGAAGCCCTCCAGAAAACAAATGATCTCATTTTCTTCATCAAATGATCTAAATTAAAAATATCTATGGAAAATACAACAAATTTAGCAGTTGTCGTCAGAACTGTTTGTCAAAGTTCGGTTCGGCCGATTTTTTCGTGTCCACGCCCCCTGAGTTTCAGGAATTATTGTCTGACGAATATAGTCATCTGGTGTGATTTAGGTTAGTCGAGGGTAGGAGGGATCTGGGGGCGAAGCCCGCCAGTCACGCATTTCTACCTGACGACGGACATGGATTGTGAATTAGTTTCTAATATGATTTCTATAGGTGTAAGAGGTATAAGAAAACGTATGAATGGCATTTGGGAGATAAAGCAACCGTAACCCATCAATCTGAATTTAATTTGAACAGGACGAATCGGCGGGACTGAAATGTCATTGATTCCAATTCAAAGATGGCATCAAGATTGTAAAATTTGTAAAACACACGTTCCTTTGAAATTCGACTCGTAATATCTCAAAAACTATTACGAATACAAAAGAAATACCTAGAAACAGTTTTCTAGAAAATTAAATTTCCTATAAAAAAGGTTGGATGTTGTTCACTCGTATCTTACATATTTTTATCGAAAAGGTTAGATGAAATTTTATTGTATCTCGCACAGTATTCGAGATATTTAAAAAAAANTGATGAAAAAGGTCTCTTTCTGTCCCTTTTTACCTTTTAGACAGAAACGATGGTATAGAGCTTGTCGCACAATATACAATGTAATTGTTACAAATTATTATCGAAAAGGTTAGATGAAATTTTATTGTATCTCGCACAGTATTCGAGATATTTAAAAAAAATTCAAATATCTAAAATCAAGAAAATAATTAATATCTCCCAAATTAATTGATATATCAATTTTTCCTTTGAGATGATATTTGTTCATATCATACACAACCATAATCAAGTGTTAAACCTTGGCGCCACGGAAACCGTAGTATTTTTTTTTTTTAAACCGCGTTTATTTATGAGAATAATGTGATTTCGATATCGCCAAGAAAAGTAATCATCTTGGTAAATTTGGAACATCAAAAACAAAAAAATACTTTCAATTGTTCAAACATGATCGTTAATTTTAATAATTGTTTTTCGTTGACTTTCTCATAGCAAGTTAGCGCGATTTTATACTGATTAAATGCGCGTGATCCATATAGCACAATATTATGTTTAAATTCTGATTTTGTGAAAAATTCCAACGTTATGCATTATTTAAAATAATGTTATTTAGATAATCTGGACGGATATGGTAAACAGCATCTTCTCGCAATTAAATTACCACATCCCTCCTTCAACTTTTATAAAAGTAGAAAATATGGGCTATTTTCAACAATTGGCTACACTGCTGGATAAAACACCGACCCGAGTAATAGGTAATCAGTGTTATTTGTATCACGCTAAAAACCACAAGAATAATTTTCCTACGCTAATTTTTCAATTTAAGCATATCAAATAGATGTAATCGCAAAATAATGATCAAATATGTTTTAACAATTTTTTTAAATGAATGTATTTAACTGGCCGAAGGGGAAGAAAAAGTTTATTAATAGAACTTTTCAAAATCAGTCACATAGGTATTGCTATTTCTGAATAACGTAGATAACAGAATTGTACATTCTAATTGCCTTAATGTTTTCGCAGTGAATTTTGTTCATTGGCAGTATGTTCGACGTTTATTGAGTAGTTGCGATGAAGGTATGAGAGAACGGTACAATGTTTTGAAAAAAGAGTTGCTTCGAGGATCGCCACGGAAACGGTATGTTTTCTAACTCGATTTTTTTTAATATTCCGACATTTTTAGCGTATCGAGGTAATAGGTACTAATTGAGTTTTATATAATCTTAAAATAGTCAGAAATTTAAGGAAGTTATGTTTCAGGTGGGTGCAGTGTTTGCGAAAAAATCCCGCAGTAATTGCGTTGATCTCCCACTATTTGAAAGACCACGTTTCGCAGAAATCTCTCGACATTGTAAGTTACTTGAGCTTCATATAAAAAATTGTAGTATTTATTATGCTTTTTTCGGCTATGAAAGTGCAGCTGTTCTTGTAGTGACGTCAAATAATGTTACATTTGCAATTTATATCCAGTTTTCTTAATAGAATAATTAATATTTAAATAAATGTTACACTATCTTAATAAGAAATGATAAACGTACTCAGCGTATCACTTCAAGTACCGCGTCTAGGACTAGAAAATAAAAAAATCATAGAATACTATAATAATATTTAATAGAACGCATTGTTTTAGGTTGACGAAATGATTAATCAACATAAGTCACAGATGGAGATACAAATTCTTGGTACTTCTTGGTTGGACAACGGTATAAAGTTTTCACTGTACACGAAGGCACAAAGTGCAAGAAAGTTTCTAGGAAATCCTCCTTGGTACAGAAATACATCTATCATTGACGACTATTATACCGAAGTATTACTTGCATCTGTTTAATTACTAGTTTATGTGTACAATCGTAAGTAATTATACATAATGTCGTTTATTTTTGCAATAGCTAGAGGTTGGAGATAACCATTTCCAAAATGAACTTAATTCCAAGAAGTTCACCATCTATCAAGCCCAACAATTATTGGAAAGTCCAGCTGAGCTATTCCCGGAAAGTATCATGTAAGAAGTTAATTAAATGGTTTTGGGGTAAAACTGTATTAGTTAATTCGCGTTAGTGGAATTACATATTCATTCATGTAATAACCCTTTCTTGTCAATAATAGATGGATGGATAGTGTTCTTGAAGTAAATGCTTACTTCAATCAACTTCTTAATTCATTAAGTAAGTCTTCTATGTTTTTCTCGTTAATAAAAAATGTATCAACATTCTCATTACAATCTTTTGATTTCCAGTTGTACCAGTAGGGATGTTGTATCCTCCTTTGTTCCATGGGAAAGACGTGCCTGAGTGAGTATTCTAAATAGCATTTTAAAGATTATCGATTTACATTTATGATGGCAATGGCTGTCGATCATTTATCTGCTGAAACAATTTCGTATGCAAGAAATATGTTAATTATTGTTTCCACAATATATGTAATGATTCTTCATATTCTGACAGCAAATCGATCACTGTATACAAACCTTATTAACGTTTTATTTTTATGTAGAAATGTATTATATGGCTCTACTGGTTCTATCATAGGCCATGAACTATCCCACGCATTTGACGATCAAGGTGATTTACTAGTTTCTGTTGTTTGATAATTATAAAACTTTGAGACGTGCATTTTTACAACAGGCTGATTCTCTTCATAAAATATGGTTTAATTTGCCGATTTCTGATGAAAAAGGTCTCTTTCTGTCCCTTTTTACCTTTTAGACAGAAACGATGGTATAGAGCTTGTCGCACAATATACAATGTAATTGTTCAAAATTATATACCAGGTGTATAAGCTTAAATCCGCTGTTTGCTCATAGATTGCTTTAGTGAGCATGTTTAGTTACTATGGACACGCTATACTTTTGTTTTGTATGAGTTTGACATCTGTCAACAATAATCAGTGTACATCATCAGCAATTTCATACAACAACATACATTTTTCCTTTGGTAATCATGTCTAGTTTTTTCCTAGAAGAAGAGCATATGCGGGAAGCTCTACTTTTCTGCTTCAATTTGAATAAATCGGCTGCCGAATCGCATTGAATGCGTGTGAAGGCCCATAGCGACAGTACTTTATCGAAAACAACGTGCAGAGATTGGTTTCGTCGGTTCAAAGACGACAATTTTGACCTGAGCGACAAGAAGCGTGAAAATCGACCCAGGAAGGTTGAGGACCATCAACTGTAGGTTCTTTTGGATGAGGACGATACTCAATCGCAAAAAATGCTTGCCGAGCAATTGGATGTTACTCAACCAGCCATTTCCATGCGCCTACGTGCCATGGGAAAGGTTCAAAAGATCGGAAAATGGGTGCCGCATGAATTGACCGATAGGCAGATGGAGCGACGCCAAAACACATGCGAGATCTTGCTCGCCAGACAAAAAAGAAAATCCTTCCTGCATCGGATTGTGACGCGATGAAAAGTGGATATTTCTCGAGAATCCTAAACGCAAGAAATCGTGGGTTGATCCCGGCTAACCATCAAAATCGTCCGCAAGACTAAATCGCTTCGGACAGAAGACGATGCTGTGCGTTTGGTGGGATCAGCAGAGTATCGTCTACCAGGAGCTGTTGAAACCTGGTGAAACTGTCAATGCCCACCGCTAACAACTGATCAAATTGCACCGTGCTCTGCGTGAGAAAAGGCCGGATTATCAGCAAAGACATTACAAGCTGCTTTTCCTTCACGACAACACACCATCGCACACGTCAAAGATGGTCCGAAATTACTTGGAGGCACTCAACTGGGAGGTACTACCTCACGCTACTTATTCCCCAGACCTGGCTTCTTCCGACTACCACCTGTTTTCGTCGAAGGGCCACGCGCTCGCTGAGCAACACTTCGATTCTTACGAAGACGTCCGACAATGGCTTGATGAGTGGTTTGCCTCGAAAGAGAAGGAACTTTTTTGGCGTAGTATCCACAAATTGCCCGAGAGATGGGACAAATGGGTATCTAGCGAGGGCCAGTACTTTGAATAAATTATTTTTTCGCTTTCTATGAAAAAAACATGTGTTTTTCTGACTAAAAGACAATGGATTTAAGCTTATACACCTGGTATTTGTGCCAATTTGTGTAAATTTTGCAATGAGTAAATAGTTCCTCCAGCCTAGGAATGCATGTGCACGAAACACTTAGAAATTAATGTGTTACTAGTTTAGAATCTTCTTAACAAAATTTGTATAAATTTGTTATTAATTTCTAGGTCGTCGATATGATGCTGGTGGTCTACCCCTGGTATGGGATCCCGTTTCCTTAATACAGTACCAAGAACGAACTGAGTGTTTCGTCAAGCAATTCAATAAGTATAAATTAAAAGAATTGGAGGAAATCGGCCGAACGGCTTACGTAAGTAATTTCTTTAATGTTCTTCACTGATTTTGTAGGTGTTTGTTAAGTCAGTAATTACGGCATGTGCATGGTAATTTTTCAATTTTTAATACATTTTTAGGCCGATGGAAGATCGACAGAAAGAGAAAACACGGCTGATACAACTGGTATATTTGCTACTTTTGCTGCTTTTCGACATAGGGCCAGACTAAGAAATAAACCCTTTAAAAAGTTACCAGGTCTAGAACATTTGACCGACGACCAGCTGTTTTTCCTTTCCTTCGCCAATGTGAGTGGCGGAAAAATACACAGTGAAAACTTTTTGCACACATTTGTAATTTTTCTAAAATTGCAATCCTAATTTCCAGTCGTCATGGTTTTGCATTACGTGTAAAGTCAGACAATAGCTGCGTAGCTGTTTATACCGTACCAGTCTCAACTGATTGTGACGATTGCAATTTTGATGAATTTACAATGTTCAATGATGATGTATCGTACAAGTTGTAAACATTTTGAAAATTTCTGTTCAACAGATATGGTGTTCTTACATAAAACCGGAGAAAATGCTGTTTATGACACTGCTTCAAGCGTCTCATAGCTTTCCAAGATATCGTGTAATTGGTACTTTGTCGAATATCAAAGCTTTCTCTGATACATTTCAATGTCCGTTTAATAGCCCCATGAATGCTCGTGATAAGTGCTATTTATGGAAATAATTACAGTTATTGTAATATAAAAGAATTCACGTTTGTAACGGAATTCTTAATGGGTCTGTACGTATCAAATGTGTAAAAATAAAACTCAAGATCTGAAAGTTATCCTTTTTGATTTCAAAAAGAGGAAGAAGACTTCAGTTATAGAATGAAGAAAACTGTTTAATTAAATACAATTAAAAATATGTCACTTCTTGTCTCTGACCCCGATTAGAATAATAGATATAAACATTTTAGGGTTCAAATAAATAGTTATTAATAGATTGGACATAATTAGAGGAACTGGTAATCGGTGAAGATATAAACGAGTATAACTTCTGGAAGTGTTTAACAATTTTTTACGTACTTATTAAGAATGAGTAGTATATTAAATCCTCATTAAATTTTGGGCTTAGGTGTGGGGGGATGGTGTGTGTGCCCTGTTTGTTGTGTTTCGTCCCGGGTCTGCCTGTGTGTGGACTCGTCAGTAAGGCTATCAGGCAGACCCTGCCTTAGACACCGAAAAATCTCTCCTGAGCGGGATTTGAACCCGAGAGACTACATGGTATGAGCGGTGAGTGTAACCGCTGGGCTATCGAAGGCCCGTGTCGAAGGAAGAACTTCTAATATATATATGCTATGACCGCCACAAAATAAATTTCGCATTACTGTACTGTAACTTTTCTCGCGTACCGGCCCTTTCCCCCTTGTTCGGTCGCGTCGTATCGCGCAATCGGGCGGTCGCGAGGAAGTTATAAGATTTGCCTTTTGGCAATTTCCTGGATTTCCTCTTGGCAGTCTCAGATTGGCTAGGGCTTTCAACGGCGCAGAGCCTCAGCATCTAAGCACTTTTCATCAGTGAAAGCCGTATGGTAGGGAATCCAGGAATTTTATATGTTTTATCTGAGGAAGGTTCGGTCGTGGACTCGAAATTATAAGGGTCTCCGTGTGTCTTTCTGTCGCGTCAGGTATGGTGTTTAATTAAATTTCCCTGATTTTGGAAATCTTGAGTCTATTCGAGATTATGTGTGGACGGGCTCCACGGTTACACCTTGTGCAATGTGTTCCCGTGACCCTTTAACAAAGGGGGAACGGCGCCATGCCGTCACGCCCTCGGTGTGTAAGTGTGAAAGAACCTTGTATTGAGAGTCTGGATCGTCCCGTACCTCTAGTCACCCGGGGAACGTCGCGATGACGTCACGCCGGGGGCTTAGATGGGGGGTACGAGGCCGTCTCCTGTATCCGAGGTTCCTAGTTTTCTCCGTCAGGCACGGAATTGCCCGTGCGACCAAACACCCGGGGAACGTCGCGATGACGTCACGCCGGGGGGCAGGTGCACGGCTTCAAGACCGTTCTTGAGCCTGAGGAGCAGGATGCGCGTCGTCTCGAGCGGCCAGACACTCGGGGAACGTCGCGATGACGTCACGCCGAGGGGCAGGTACAAGAGTCCGACGTCGTCGTCCTGGTTGTTGTTCTTCCGTCGTCAGGCCTCGTCTCAGGCGGCTATACACTCGGGGAACGTCGCGATGACGTCACGCCGAGGGGGCAGACGCGAGAGCACGAGACCGGGCGCGGAGCGCCTCGCTGCCGAGTGGAAGGGGAAGCAACTCTATGCCGTCACACCTCGCACGGCACGCGAGTTGGCTCGCCGAATTTTCTAAGATTATTGACGGTGATTCCCGGAAGGGGAATCCGTCTAAATGGCCACCGTTCGTAGGTGGTCCAAGGTATCCCTGCCGGGCGCTTTGCCGGACTTCCTTGGGTGCTTGGACTCACCTGCCTACTTAGGGCACTGGATTCTATGTGCTCGTGAGGAGCGGCCCTGTCGCCTTGTCTCCTCGAGCCTTTTAATCTTCCACTTGCCAGGGGATGCCTGGCAAGGGTATCGCGAATATAGGGTAATTCCTGGAGGAGCAGCGCAATGCTACCACGTCCATAGGCTCTTTCGATCGGAATAGAACGATCAGAAAGGACCTCGATTAGAGAAAATCCACGCCTTTTATACCCGCGGAATACATGGGATCTATTACTGTATCGTCGGGTTCCCACTCTGGCCCGCGTTCTTTGACGTGCTATTGGACACGATGGTTACCCTCTAGACGATTTGTAATTTCTCGCCCTTTGATTCGCCGGGGTCAAGGCCGTGATCATTTCCTCCAATCGGGGTGACTCATATCAACGTTATATTAATTTGATCGCGATGTATTAATTCGCGACCTCGTGACCCTGCCCGTGTTGTGTGCGCGCGAGGCTCTCTCTCGACGCGCCGAGCAAGCGGTTGTTTTTATATCCTGACTCCCGTCGCGGGGACAAGATTCGATTTGTCTTACATAGGTGTCGCGTCGCGTACCTCCGACACGTCACAGTACAAATTGCTGTTACAATTGAGTTTAAAATAGTACAGCTATCCATTTTTAATAAGCTTTCCATAGCTCTCGCTCAAGAAAGCGTGTTATTAATCTGATTTCTTTGTTGCTCGTATTTATTTGATGATGAACTACCTCAATATTGAATAACTACATAATTTCAGATTTTTAAATTCCTAATACTCTGCGTGAATTTTAACAAGCAACAAGGCGGTAGTCTCTAATGATGTGCAAAAAGCGCACTGATTATGTTGCATCTTTCATGGAAAATATTTGTATACATAGGAAATGCATACGAATGCATACAATACTATGCATGCTGGATTGCAGCTTGATTTAGTTTCGATATTTGCAGCAGATTATAACAGGTTAACGATATCGTGACGCGACTAATCAGAGACGTGTGCCACTCGAAGCACGTAGGCAATAAAAATAAAAATGACTAGTTTATATATACATTGGAAACATTTGTCTTGTACCGTGCACTCAATTTATGTACACTTAATCATGTTTCCGTTAAAAAACTGCTTGCGCTTAAATAGGAAAGTATCTTCTGCCGGATGTCTTTTGCTATCGTATGTAATTCCTTGATATAATTTAATAAACATCATTACTTATATACAGACTACCAAAACATACCTATAATTACACGGTTCGGTTTCATTTTGCAGAGTTTTCCTCCAATTTTTAATAGTGACATGTTTCGTTGAAGCGGGCCCAGTACTAAGTCGTCCTGGATATGACATCTGTTATTCCGAGGCCTGCAATATATCAGGTATTTCATAAGAAAAATAAAAAGTTATTGACTTTCCTGAACTTATTGGAGATGATTTTTTTTTATTTATTTGTATGAATAATTTACTTGTGTCACAATTTATTAATATCACGATTCTTTGACCATTCAGCTGGGGAGTACCTGAGGAACATGAACCCTAACGTGCCTCCCTGCACCGATTTTTACGAGTTTGCTTGCGGAAATTACAAAAATTACCACCAAGTGGACCCCGTATTTGGCGAGATTAGCTACATGATGGAAATGGAGAAATCTAAGAACAGAGCATTAGACGGTAATATCTCCATTTTCGTAAGTTCTTTCACACATTTTTCAAAACCATTTTCTTTTGATATTGCAGCAATCCTATCTCGACCAATTGCCTCTGGAGATATCGAAGCTCTAAGAAAGGCAAAACAATTCCATCAATCGTGCATCGATGAAGGTAAGCCTTATGGCAAATATGTTGTTGATACGAATAATTTGTATTAACTGTCGATCACTAAATAGCAGAACGTATCAAAACTGGTATCAGGAGGTCATAACTACTTGTTTTTGCAAGCTTTTGGATTTAAAGACGGGGACAGACGCGAAAGGACCGCAGTGGAGAAAAAACGGAATCGCAAAAGAATGTTATTCATTTAATTAGTTGACTCTGTTACAAATCAATTTATCTCATAATTGGACTGACTCAAAGTCTTTTTCGACCATCAACGTGTTGCGACACGTTGAATGTTGCGATCCTCCACCCATAACACTTTGTCCCACCCACCGGTGTTCATTAAATTTAAAGTCGTGAGTTCTTACATTTATTTTTAATTTCGTTATTTGATGTAACAGAAGAAATGTTATTTCTTTTAGGTGCACTCGAAAACATAGGATTATCCGAATTAAAGTCTACATTATCCGAACGAGGAGGTTGGCCCGCAGTGACCGGATCTTCAAGATCAAGTATAAATGTTCTCTCTTGGCAACAAATTGACGAGGTCTATCTGACACTCGTTGGCGAATCGGCCTTTTTTAAGTTTAGTGTCGAAATTGACAAGGAAGATAAAAGCAAATACAGCTTTGTGGTATGTAATGACATTTCCGTCCCAATAATATTTAAATCTAGTTAATTGCATTGTAACTAAATAACTTGCACGTAATATGATTCTTCTATACATATGGATTATGCATTGAAAATTACTTGGTTGTATAAAATTAATGTTTAGAAGGAAAATTCTTCTGTTCATAGCTGAAACCTCCTCTGTTTGCCGTACCGGATTATATGCTGATTTATCCTGCAACGTATAGCGATGAACTAGACAGATACAGTGAATTTATTATTGACGTCATTACGAAACTTTTAGAGAAACCTACCTCAGCAGAGAGGATAAAAAAAGACGCGGAAAATATAGTGGCATTCGAAGTTAAATTATCGAAAGTGAGTACAAGTTTAGCGCAAAATTGAATAAGATTTCTCATTTTCATGCATGTATTCACTTTTAGCACCCAAAAAGTGGTTATTTTCAACGCGATAATCAGGTCTTTTAACATAGGAATATTTTGTAATCGATTGCAGATTAAACGAAAGAGGGACTCTCATTATGCAGAATTTACGCGTCTTGTACCATCCATGTTCCAAATGCTTTACGAGGAAGAATCCCCTAGATCTGATAGATCAACAGTGAGAATATAGCATTTCTCAAAGCATAAAAAATCTTTAAAAAATTATTATATGCTTTTCTTAACATAGTTTTATTGTACAGATAAACTGGATAAACATGTTACGTAAACTTCACGGAATTACAAACGTGCCCTTTACTACTGGAAGAGGGATATTGGTAAATGATCAAGATTACTTTATGGAATTAGGAAAAGTGCTGGACCAAACACCGGCCGATGTTTTGGGTGAAGCATTATATTTATTAATTGCATTTTATGGGAGAAAGGTTCTTTAAATGATAATTTATGTCTATTTACAGTAAATTACGTTCACTGGAAATTCGTATATCACACAATGTCATTCACAAATTATGACATGAGGTCGCTTCTTCGTAACTTTCGGGCGGAACTGCTACTAAATTGGCCTGAAGAATCGAGGTATGTCCTAGAATGTTTTAATTAATATATATATTGTTACTGAATAGAAATATTTTAAAGTTGATGGAAATTCCACTTTAGGGCCTTGGAGTGTCTCAATTTAAATCCAGCGTATGATGCGGCGGTGTTTCAATATTTGCAAACGGTTGACATAATAAAGCCGAACGAAGAAGTAAGCATTCATCGTCACTTTAAAGAATGAAGAAAATTGTTGGAATGTTCGAAAATGTACCAGAACTAATTGTTACTACACGTAATTCCGTGATCGCAATTTAGTTTAGTCACATGATATATACTTCACAGGCGCGAAAGATTATTGCATATCATAAGACACAAGTGTATAAACAAATTAATGCAGCGAGTTGGCTGGACCGAATTACAAAGGCAGCAATGATAAAAAAACTCGAAAGAATGGAAGTATTTATTGGACATCCTGAGTGGCTTCAAAATCCATCTGCTGTTAATGAACATTTTCGTAGGGTATGAATCAAACTACTTCCCTGAACCTGTATTTGTAAAATTTAGTTATTTTTCGTAGTTACAACGTTTGTTTTATGAAACAGTTTACAACAGGGACGAGTTTCTTTAAAAATTACCAAAGCACGAAGAAGTTTCTTGTGGAAAAATCCCTACAACTTTTACAGAAGTCAGTAAATAAACGATCAGAGGAATTCATGTAAGACATTTTTTAATCATTATGACTTTTCATTTTAGACTTCATGTGTTCACAGACTAAGAAATGAGAAAAAACATGAGATTGGTATGAAAAATCGAATGTTTCTTGAACATCGGCGTTATTTAATACAAAAATTTACGGAAACAAAATTATGATATATTATAAAACACAATTAGGTAAATTCATTCTTTTTTCTATTGCAGATGGTCTAGCGGTGCCACCATGGTAAACGCACTCTACAAGCCATTTGCAAACGCATTAGGTGAGCTTTGTATTTCTACACAAAAAATGATATCTTTATCGAATGCACTAACAATGTCTCATGATTCACAACATTCGATTGGTTAATTAATATCCTACTGGATTTCAGTTGCCCCTGCTGGAGTAATGCAGGCTCCCAACTTCATGGAGAATGTACCAAAGTAAGTGGATTAATTGTAAACCCATACTATTTGTGCGCTATTTGTATTACATTTGCTCCAATAAGGATGCACTTATACTATTTCCTATTTGTAAATGGCTATATATAATATTGACTGCACTTATCGTTTACAAATCAGAAGAAACTTTTTTCGTACTACTCTAGAATTTTGAATTTTGCTGGCATTGGTTTTATATTGGCTCATGAGTTATCCCACGCCTTCGATAAAAATGGTAAGTCACTACCTTAAATTGGACTGAGACAATAAATCTTGAAAAACTTGTGAAAGTAACACACATTCACATGCATACAATTTTATTTAGGATTTCAACATGATTTCGAGGGTTCACCTTTGGTGTTGCCAGAACGAACGAATCAAGCCCTTAATAATCGAGCACAGTGCTTTATTAATCAATTCAATGGTTACCAATACAAAGAATTGGAAGTGTTCGGCGAAATCAAGTTTGTAAGATATTCTTTTACATCCTTGGGCGTCTTTTTCATTTTATAGTAAACAAGGTTCCATTGTTGTAACATAGCGTTTCGATATTTGAGGACTCCTAATTTCTAATAACCTTTGCAGGCTAATGGTCAAGAGACTTTGAATGAAAATATAGCTGATACGTCTGGTATGCATACTGCTTACGGTACTTTTCGGCTACGTGCCAAGGATAAGTTTAGACATTACCAAAGATTACCTGGTTTAGACAATTTCACCGACAAGCAGCTGTTCTTCTTAGCCTTTGCTAATGTAAGTAATCACGGTACATTTTTTTTTTTTTTTTTAATAATGGTTGACACATTGAAATCCTGGCAAACTAGTGGCACGTTAGAATCCCTATTTTCTGAACAAATTTGTAATACATTGGTTATGATTATTTTTTCAAAACTTCTAACCAATCTTGTATTTAATCGAAATAATATCGATTGACAGATTTGGTGTGAATATTTGACGCCAGAGAAACTTCGGTTCACATTGACTCTTGCAGAATCACATAGTTCTTCAAGACACAGAGTAAACGGAGTTTTATCCAACATGAAAGAGTTTGCTAAAGCTTTCGAATGTCCACCGAATAGCCCTATGAATCCAAATCAAAGGTGCAACGTATGGACATGAACACGTTAAACAAAAAGTAACAATTATTGTGATCTGCAACAATAAAGTTTTACAATTATTCACAAATAAAGTTTTCTCTAGCATTTAACGAAACGATTACATTTCTAAGTTTATGTGGCATGTCTATTGAATTCAATATTAAAGGCTAAAAATATTTACTCCCGAGCACCACGTCAAATAGTAATTTTCCAATAATCAGTTTCCCACGTATCGTGTAATGAAAATCATGCCATTTATCACATACGTGACATAGAGTAGATGTGAGGTCACGTAATTGCGCATCGTGAGGAAAACGCACGGAGAAATTGCACTTGTTATCTCATTTTGATAACGTAAAACTGAAGAACTCTAATATATAAATTACATGCATGCGGATGCACCGGCTTGCTGTATGTTAACTTCCGGCAGGGTACAAATGTAAATAAAAATGTATTTGACAATCAGCAATACATCAAGAGGTAACAGAAGAGTAGGTGCTACAGGTTTTAATTTGTAAGTGATATAATCGCAGGTTTGTACATAATCAATTAAAATTAAATGACAAGTCTGTCGAAAATACTAAGAGAAATATATTAGCTGGCGTCACAAATTTGATTTGTATTATGTTATCTACCGAAGACCTGCTTTCCCTCCATGGAAGAATAGGGAATATTTCGGAAATATAATTTTTCTCTACATCTTTTATAGACACTGCTTAGTTCTTTGTTTGCTAGTCAATCTAGTGCCAGTAAAGGCAGGATCAACGTTAACAAAAATGTTAGGTACTACTGGATCTCCTCAAACAGGTAGCAGCAATTTTGAGACGTGTCTTACCGACGACTGCAGAATTACAGGTAGGAATTATCCATAAAAAGAAAAAATAAAGACTTCTAAATTAAGTAACTCGGTTGAAAAAGATAAAATAAAGGATTTATTTATGCACCTTACAGCGGCGGAAATTTTAAGAAATATGGATTCTAATGTAGCACCTTGTACCAATTTTTATGAGTTCGCCTGTGGTAATTACAAGACTCGTATCGACTTGAGTACAGTGGACGATCATTACAACCGCTTCAAAGAGATTGAAATAACTGTCAGTCATCGATTACGAGGTTTCCTTTTTTTACTTTACTTCTATTCTTGTACGAAGAGTTTGAAATATAAGTACTCTATACAATACTAGAAGCAAGTATCAGAAAGAAATTATTTATTCGTGTTTTAGACATCATTTACGAGCCAATTACTGCGAGGGACGCTGAGGCCGTGAAAAAAGTGAAGAAAGCCTTCCATGTTTGTATGGATGAAGGTATTAACGTTTTGCACATCTTCATCTTTAGCTAATCAAGTTGTTGATACAAATGGAATATTAATTTGCAAAAAGTTAAAGTATTTGTACTTATCTGTGAGAAAAATCACATATCGTGTGCAGATACTCTTCAGCACTGTAAGAAAATTGTCATCGGTCTTAGTTTCGTTGTTAATATATTAAGACATTCTTACAGAAAGAAATATTGATACAACATGCTAATTTTACTGCATACAGTTTTGTGGGTAGATTGTAATAGAATTGTTTTTCTAGAGCGTATTGACCAGATGGGAATGGCGGAAATAAAATCTATTCTAGCAAAGAAAGGAGGTTGGCCGATAGTAACGTCTTCTCGTAAAGAAGGGACTGCAGTTCCTTGGTATGAGCTTGATAAGTGGTATATTAGCATCATGGGTGAATCCGCATTTTTCCGATTTAATATCGAGCCCGACAGTATCGATCCCACTAAACACGCCTTCGTGGTAAGTAAATGAGAAAAATGAGTCAAACGGTAACAATAGAAATTTACAATAAATTTAAAGATACGAGGATTTAATTTGAGATGCTGAGTTCTAACTTCAACATTTTTTAATTTTATTTCGATGTCAGTTAATGCCCAGTTTGTCTACTCTACCGACAAACGTACTGCAGAAGTCATCGCATCATCAAGGCAAAATGGATACCTACCGGAAATTTATCGTCGACGTCGCTGAACAATTTTTGGAGGAAACAAGCATTTGGGATGCGAATAAGGTGCAAGATGTGAAAGATATCATGGATTTGGAAATCGCTCTAGCAAGGGTTGGTACAGGTGACTTTAGTGGTACATTTTCTCACGGAGTTTTTCATGAATTATTTTCACAGATTAAACATGTCGAACGATTAGGCAGTCGCATGATACCACCGGAGAAAAAGAGATTCATAATGTCTGAATTTGTCCGAAGTCAAAAGATGCGACAACGATCGAAACCGCAGGTGAAATTAAATTTTATTCCAAAAGTGTATTTAAAAAATATTTAATATCTTATCTGATAGACATGTATTTCTCTTTTTATTTTAGGCTAAGATAGATTGGAAGAGTATCCTTCAAAGCTTCTTAGCAAACAGTGATCTTATGTACGATCCTGCGTGGAAGATGATAGTATACGATTTGCCCTATTTTCAACAGTTGGAGAAGGTGTTATCGGAGGTACCGGCTAAAGTCATAGGTAGTATATCAATAAAAAAATAGTTTAAATCGGAATTTGACAATTCATTAAACCGACTGTATTAATTCTCTCATAGTTAATTACATCCATTGGCAGTTCATTCGTCGTTTACTGGGAAGTATAAATAGTGCTTTGGAATTTCTGGACTATCAATTGCGGAGTGGGACGTTAAAGAAAAAACCCAATTCAGAGCGGTAGATTTCCGAAATCGAATTTTATATTAGAATGTCCTTTAACGATACTCCGACTAAAACTAAGGTTATTTTGTTATAGATGGATGGAATGTTTGAACAGTAGTCCAGCTCAACTTGCAATTATTCATCGATATTTGGAAAAACACGTTCCATTAAAATCCGAAAGAATGGTACGTTTTTCTTTTCTCCAACCAAATAATTTCTTCTGACTTGTTCTTTTTTCGTACCGTGATAGATTAAAGAAATGATCAAAGATGTAAAAAAAGAATTGGAACACCAGATTGGCGGAGCTTCTTGGTTAGATAGAAAAGGAAAGGATGCGTCACAATTGAAGATCACACATTTAAACGAATTTATTGGACCTCCTTTGTGGTTACGAAATGCCACATTAATTAATGAATATTATGGAACGGTACGAAGTCATCTTATGTACACTCGTAATTATTTTCTTCCTTACTTGCAATCTAATATCTAATAAATGAAAATTAAGCGTTGCGCCATTTGTTGAGATAGCTCAGTATTGGAGACAGCCATTTCAGAAACATTCTCAACCAAAGGATGTATGACGTGCGAAATACATTAAACCTGTTGGCAGTGCCAGTAAATCGACTTGCAGATTCAGTCATGTAAGAGAAATATTAATTGGAATTTGTTATATTACTAAATAGCTAGGTAAAATAAACGAGCAATAATTTTTGGGCAAGAAAATGTTTTAGATTATAATCGAGATGTCATCATCTTTTCATTTTGTTTTCTTTGTATTCCATTTTTACCATTCCATTCCATGAATCGTCATCCAAAGTAAACGTTTACATATACAAATTCACATATTTCCTAAACAGTACCTGTATCTTGCACGCTCATGAAAGTCTCAACATGAAATCGCTCAGAAACATGGATCAGAGAGGTTCTAATTAGATCCTATTTTTATTAGATACTTTGTCAGGTCATATACTTTAACTTTTTAGATGGCCCTATGGAATCGCAAAAGTGAATGCGTACTACAATCGCCGGCTCAACGCTCTGAGTGAGTTCTTGTTTTTGTTTATTTTTTAAACTCTGTCTATATTACAGTTATCACCTCTTTTGACTTTTCAGTCATACCGTTAGGAGTGATGCAGCCACCATTTTTCATGAACGATACTCCCGAGTAAGTAACAATGTTGCCCTAATTCTGAACCGTATGCAAAAATCTAGTCAGTTAATAAATTTTCTTTCTTAAGAAATGTTCAGTTCGGTGCTCTTGGTACTGCGATAGGACACGAATTGACGCATGGTTTTGACGAAACAGGTGAGTCCTATTTTTTCAAAAATAAAATTTTCAGGTAAATTGAAATTCACGGGAAAAAATCGATAATTTTAAGGCCGTCGGTACGCTCATGATGGGTCACGCATGATGTGGTCCAGCAAATCGGCCGAGGCATTCAGAAAACGAGCACAATGTTGGATCGATCAATTCAACGAGTATACATATAAAGAATTGGAAGAGTTCGGTCGAACCGTTCACGTTAGTTCTTTCATTTACTCTGCCATTAATATAGAATACCTCGCCGTAATTTTGACTGCATATTTTATATGGTTAAACTTTTCCAGTGTGACGGTGCAGCAACCGAATCGGAAAACATGGCAGATTCGGTTGGAATGCAATTAGCTTATGCAGCCTTCAAAGCCCGAAAAAAAGACTATCAGAAATTACCTGGTCTGAGCACTTACACCGACGATCAATTATTCTTCTTGTCGTACGCCAATGTAAGACATGTAGAATTAACATCAACAAATATTGCCGCGTCTTTTGGGTTATTTCTTACTTTGCTTCTATAGGAAGCTATTTATCTAGATTTTCTCTGGGTCTCTGTATATAAAATATACATTTGAACATTTATACCCTATTGTTTTACAGATGTGGTGTGAGTATAGAGATTTGGACAGCTTGATGTACTTCTCGGAGATATCGAAAGAACACAGTATCGGGGAACACCGAGTCATCGGTGCGGTGTCGAATATGAAATCGTTTAGTGACGCATTTCAATGCTCTAAGGACAGTCCTATGAATCGGAAACGGAGGTGCAGCTTATGGAAGTGAATACATTAAACTCAATGAATCAGAAATCGAAAAATGCAATAAAACATTCGTATACTAGTGCTGTGTAACATTCTGACGAATTTCATTAATACAAAACGAGGTAATAAAATTGCGTCTTCAGAGAAATTGTAAATTCGCGTTGTATGTACGTCAATCCGTAATTGCCAAAAAAACAAGCACCGTGTACGGCAATCTTTAATGCCGAGCCTCGAATTTATCTGTTCATGTCATACACATACTACTGGTCTCAGCTACTGTTAGGTCGGGGATCGTTTACTCGGGAGCGGTGATGGCGATTACCCGAGGGTGTCGATCGGACCTGGCCTCGTGGGTATGTTTTTAGGGATTCGCTTCCAGATGGTTGAAACCAGCCAAAGACCTCGTCGAGTAAAGTAACGAAGATACTTTATTTTCAATTGCCTCTTGGCTTACAGGAACGACTCGTAGACTAGGTCGACTCAGGGGGACTAGCGTTCGCCGAGAGTCACAGGTGTCTCGCACGCAGGTTACAGAATCGAGACGGTTCAAACTTAGATAGATCAGAGAGCGAGCCCTTCGGAGCGGGCCTTTTTATACTGACCTAGGATGTTCTTAGGCGCGGAGGAGGATGCTTATTGGTGGGTTTTTAAGATTGAGGAGGGAAATGTCTCATGTGATTGGCTTGGGGACAGGTCGAAGGGGAAACAGTTGGAAAGTGTCTTTTCCAGAGATTCTGGATGTTTGACGTTTCCCAGGGCGGTTATCTAGTTTGGGGTGCGGAAGTACTCGGATAAACAGAGGGTAGATAGGAACGAGGGAGAGCATGTCTCCAAGAGCGCTTTGGAGCACGAACGCGTTGCTTAATCTCTTTCTTAATGTTACTTAAAATAAAACGTTAGGTAGGGACCTAACACTACCTGATTTTAAAATTTTTTCCACCTACTACTTTTAACTTTTTTAATTCTATTTTTTATTGTGAAAAACAGCCATTTATCGAAAATCGCTTCCGCGCATTTTATGATTCCGATTAGTTTAGAAATATATTTAAAATATAAGCCAAATCATTGCAAATTGAAGAGGTGGTGATGTCGTTGAAGGCTTCTAGACAGGGGTCCTTAAAAGCTCTGACAATATACATACAAAAAAACCTGTTCAATATGTCGCTTTCAAATTTTCGTGGACAATTATAAATTCCAATACTCGGCATACATTTTTACAGGAAACGAAGCGACGAATTCTAATGATGTACACCTGTAGAGATGAATGTCTTTCTTATGGATTTTCTGCTACCAGTATTGTAACTGATTTCACCATATGTATTGCAAACACGACTGAACTGTGTCACTCGCTTCTCGCTCTTTATATACGAGAGGTGTCTCAAAAGTAAGTTCCACTATTTTTTTTAAACCCGTTTGGTTGGCGGGAAACGTTTGAAATTTGGAGGGAATATTTATCTGTGTGTAGTGCAAGCTCTGTAAAATCCCATCGCTAGGTCAGTCATGCCCCAGTCGCCATGGAGACTCCACTCGCTCCTACCGCCGATTGTGAAGTTCGTGGTGTTATTCGTTTTTCAACCAGAAAAAAAAATGCAACTGAAATTCATCGCGAGTTGTGTAGCGTGTACAGTGAAGATGTTATATCAAGGTCAATGGTTACTTGTTGGCGTCAATTATTCATTGATGGGAGAAAAACATTGCACGATGAACGACGAAGCGACCGGCCCTCGACTTCACGCACACCAAGTGTTGCCGAGCATGTTCGAAGGATCTTGGATTCCGATTGGCGCCTTACGCTTGATGAAATTCTTTATCAACTGCCTCCTAATATTGAGTTCTAAGGTGCCAAGCAGACAGAGAGAGGAAGAGAAGGTTCCGGTTAAAAAACGAATAACACCACGAACTTCGCAATCGGTGGTAAGAGCGAATGAAGTCTCCATGGCGACTGGGGCGTGACTGACCTAGCGATGAATGCACGCGCATAGGGATTTTACAGGGTTTTCACTACACACAGACAAATATTCCCTCCAATTTTTAAACGTGTTCCGCCAACCAAACGGGTTTAAAAAAATAGTGGAACTTACTTTTGAAACACCCCTCGCACTATGATATTGAAGGAAACTTATTCTACTTGGTGCGCACGCATGCAACACCGATTGGTGAAATAGTCTAGGGGAAGGGGGGCAACCAACCGCCAGGCGGAGCGACATCGGCTTATCCCTTCATGTCCCCGTTAGAACTCAGGTACACGACTCATTTAGGCATGCAAACGATCCATCTCGCGTCTGAAGAAAACGGAGGCTCGATATGCACGGGCTCAGCCCATATAGAAATTTACCATCTGCGGAATATTGGCCCAACCGTGAAAATCGTTGGCCCAATCTTGGCTACCAAGCGTGGCCCATTGTGGAAATGATAACATCAGCGGAGCCTGGACCGATCTACTTTGCCTTCATCGGGCTAATATTTCCTAACGGAGGAAATACAATAGCCACGATGTTCGTCTAATGCTTGAACCAAGATCGGCAGCCACTCTTGGGCCAATGTTACGATCCAAAGTTGGGCTTCTGTGGAAATGATAACATCAGCGGAGCCTCGGCCAATTTAATTTGCCTTTTTTGGGCCAATATTTCTTAAAGGTAAAAATATCCTAGGCAGGATGATATCCCAAAACTCGGGCCAATGCTGAACCAATGCTGAGTCGGGATTGAGCCAATATTAGTTATTTATGCATAAAATAATTAATTTTGTCACAACGATTGTTATATATTTGAGTGATTATTTTCACACGGTCTTATTTTAACTGGTGATACATCATTCACTTGTTCCCAATGTGTGGATATGTGTGAGCGTTATGCGGTATGCGTGGAGAAGAGAATTCTCTACTAGACCTTCCCCTCTCCTTCTTCCGCTTGGTTGTGGGGTGTGGTAGTGAGCATACTTGGTGTAAAGTTGAACATCGGTATTTGAAACAACAAATCAGTATGACAGTGAGAGGACTTATATACAAACTGACTACTAACCACACCACTTGCGAGACCGAAGCCACGAGTGCCATCCACCGATCCCGTTGGAACTAAGGTGATGTGAAAGGCGATAAGCAACTCCGAATCCGGCCCCTGGGTCTGGGATGGTGTCGATAAAAAAGGGGCCCTAATAAATGCAGCGCCGT